GTTAGGGGGCTCAAGTGCTGTTTAGTTTAGGAAGGTGGTGGACTAGAATTCTCCAGAAGGGGATTCTAAGTACAGGTATAGCTCAGTTAATGAAGCAGATGTATTCCCGAGCATTACTTCATTAACAAAAATTCACCAGAGACAGAAATAAGATGGAAAGAACAGGGATAAATCTTTGCACCACAGAAAAGAAGAGCAGTTTAACATGTTTCAGCACTAATACTTATACACCAATACTAACCATATAACCAGTGAAATGTAGCAACCAGGTCGGGTAAGCCTTGCATTAGTAATCAAAAACATTTTGAATCTTCCAGAGATCACTCAGAGGCTTCTTCCAGAATGCATCCATGGATGATCTTGCCTTTCACCAGACTTCACTTTTCTTAGGATTTCCATTTTGGTGACCAAACTTCTAGATCTGTGTTGTTGTTTTTTAACATGCTGGCATCTGCTCTCACCTTTCCTCTCTGTTTTGCTGTTCATGTATGCTCTGTAAGGGATTCTGGAGACCGCTGCTCTTTATGCAAGCACACACACCACAGTAGGATCAGCTAGAGCACTGCCACTCAAATTGGTGATCCCTGGAGCTGGTCCCTGAACCATCAGAAAGAAAGAAGTAATTGTAGCCAATAGGCACAAATATAGTGCCAGCTCCTGGCATGCGGGGGGGGGGGGGGAATGGTAATCCCTCACATTAAACAGCCTTAGAAGCAATATGTTAGAGTAGAATCCCACTCTTTCCAATCTCAAGCTTTATTGCATTGTTTACTGTAAACATACAACAGCAAACACTAAAAGTTTGTGTTTCTCTGGACTTCCATCACCATCTTCTCCATACTGATGCTGCAGAAATACTTCCCAGTATATACAGGAGAGCCAGCCAGTGTGGTGTAGTGGTTTGAGTGTAGGACTAGGACTCTGGTGATTAGAGTTCAATTCCCTGCTCAGCCATGGAAACCTCTGGGTGAGCTTGGGTGAGTCACACCCTCTCAGCCCCAAAAAACCCTGTGATAGAGTCACCTTAGGGTTGCCATAAATCAAAAATGACTTGAAAAACTCAACAACAAATATAGAGGATGAGGAAGAAAAGGGGTCTGGATGGCAAAAAAAAGAGACTTCACTGTCAGAGGTTTTGTTAACTGAGGTGTGCCTGTATCTAACCAAACAAATCCCAGGATTCCCTTGGATGGATCCACAACAATTATTGTGGTATCAAACTGATATAAAAATTTGCAGTGTCGATACATTCTAGATGTGGTTGTGAGAAACTTCAAGGCTCCTGCATTCATACTTTTTACAAGTCTTCATTCTTTTAAAGTAAACTTTGGACAGTCCTTAAAATACAAGACTGTTCTCTGTAGACTAGGACCCATCGCCAACCAGTAAGTTGTGTGTGGACACCTTGCCCATCATTCAAAGGTTGAGATTCTAACAGCAACAAGAGAAACTGAAAAACAAAACTCTTAGGCTATTCTCCTGATGCTAATTTAACTTTTTTTACCCCAGGTTAACCCTAACAGTATTGCTGCCAAGGATGGTCGGATCAGGGAAGGAGATCGCATTGTCCAGGTAAATGATGGGGGGTGGGTGGTTGCAGGGCAGGTTGGGGGAGGGAGGATATTGTTTACCATGAATTTAACATTCTACATTTCCTCCATTCCTAGATTAATGGAATGGAGGTACAAAATCGGGAGGAAGCTGTAGCAATTCTCACTCAGGAGGAGCGGACAAATATTTCTCTGTTGCTGGCTAGACCTGAGACTGAGGTGAGAGGCATTTAGATACACCACACATGTGAAGAAGAACAGGGAAGGGCTGATTCTCAGCAGTAGCATGGCTTAGTCCCGTATCTCCCCAGCTATGTCTATGACACCCCAGAGAGCTGCTGCTGGACACTGCAGGAAACCTGTGACCCTTCAAAATGTTGCTGCACTGTAACAGCTCCTAGGGTCACCAGTTCAGGATCATTCCAGACTCTGAGGTTTCCAGCCCAAAACCTGTGACCCAGGGATGTGCCCTGGTTTTCTCATTAAGCATTGTGCATTAAGTATCAGCCACAGTTGTTCACGACTTGTTATTCAAAAACACAAGCAGAACATATTTTATTTTTTTGTGGGTTTTTCAGGCTGTGTGGCCATGTTCTAGAACGGGGTAGGCAACCTTTTTGAGACCTGGGCAGGTCTCCCGAAGCCCAGGTCTCCACTGGGCCGAGGGGGGGGGGAATGGCGGTGTGTGCTCCCTCCTCCTCCGCGTGCGCCCCCCGCGCACGCTGCCGCCGCGGCGCATGTCGCAGCCGCCGTTTTGGAGAACAAAATGGCGGCTGCGACTCGTTTGCGCATGTGCAGTACTCCTGCGCATGCGCAAATGTGTTTGCAGCCGCCATTTTGATTTTCAAAATGGCGGCCGCGGTGCGCGCAGCCGCAT